TACATTTTTTCTACACACATAGTTCTTTTACTGTATATATCTTATAAGTTTTACTATGTGAAGAATATCCCAAGAATACTCCCTCATCACTTCTGGGATCATACTTACCTAGGGAGTCTTTGCCATTATTGTGCACAAAGCATTTGCATATAAATGCCCTAAGATGGGATATATTTAGCTTTCTCCCTTTAAGTGACTCATAGGGAATCTTCTTAACAAGAAGTCTAGTCATGCAACTATTTATAATGTAGCATGAAAAAATTCAGCAAACTTAGCATTTTCAAATTTGGTTCCATGATCAGACCTAATTGATGTAAGTTGATTACCTAGTTGTTTCTGAGTTTTTTTCTAACAAAAGAAGTAAACACGTCAAATTCTTCATCTTTAGATGTTAAAAAAAATGTCCAAGTAAACCTAGAGTAATCATCAACAAGCACCATCACATATCTTTTACCACCTCTGCTTAATATTCTCATTGGACCACAGAGATCCATATGGACCAGTTCCATCGTTCTGGTGGTACTTACCACTTTCTTGCATTTAAAAGAGGATCTTACCTGCTTCCCCCTTGCACAAGCCTCACAAACTCTGTCTTCCTTGAACTTGATGTTAGGCATCCCTATCACCAGATCCTTGGAGACTAATTTGTTGAGTTGACTCAGACTTGCATATCCAAGTCTCTTGTGCCAAAGGAGGGGATCATTGTCCAAGACACTTAAGCAAGTTAGTTCATTTTCTGAAAGTGTATACAAATCTACAATGCGTGTATTGTTAACTATTTTTCCCTGCAAAACAATCTTGTCAATGGTAAGATTAATCACAAAATATTTGGTAGTGGTGAATGCTACCAAGTTACCTTTATCACATAATTGTGATACACTGATTAGACTATACTTTAGGTCATCTATCAAGTAGACATTCTCAATAGAATGAGAGTCAGTCTTATCTACCTTTCCAACCCCAATGATCTCACCTTTCTTCCTATTTCCAAAGGAGACATTACCTCCTTTGAGGTCTTCAAGTGAAACGAACTGGTTCTTGCTTCCTGTCATATGCTTTGAACAGCCATTATCCATGTACCATATTTGGCTGCTCCCCTTCACTTGGACCCGCGAAAGGAAATCAGGGGTTAGTCTTAGGAACCCAAACTAGTTTGGGTCTCTTTCTATAGGCAAAAGGGTGGATCAAATTCTTTTTAGCCCAACCTGGCAGCCTATTTTTCCCTTGAACAAATTCTTTATTCTTTTGACTAGCCTTTTCTTTTGCAATACATTCACTTTTATAGTGACCAGTTTTACCACAGTGTGTGCAAATTTTATTCTCAGGAAGTGTGAGGTACTTGCTTTTGAGATCCCACTTAGGTGCAGGGGTCCCGTGGCCAAGTCCTCTCTTATTGCTACTATGGTGTTCATGTAGCCATGAAAGCGCATCGGAGGACCTATTCCATTTACAGGTTTTATCTAGCTCGTGCTTAACCTTGTTTAGATCCTCCTTAAGGACTTTTATCTACTCATCTCTTTTGTACAACTCATCTTTTATTTTTCCTACATTTTCTTCTAGTGTGAGTTGTGTGTGATCAGATTTCTTTTTACCAGTTCCTAATATCAATTTTAGATTTTCAGATTTAAGCTCTAGGACTGTGGTGTCAAGTTCATGAACCTGGTTCTTTAACTCAGCATTTTTACTTTCATTTTCACCGGCCCTAAGTTTCAGATTTTTGCACTTAGCTTTCAAAATCACACTCCTTTGACAGCTGTTTGTTTTCATTGTTTAGATCCTCAGATTCATCAATGAAATCCAGGAGTAACTCATATAGCCTTTCTTTAGACAAAAATTTAATCTTGTCTTTGAGATGAATTATACTTACCTCAGATTCCTCATCGGATTTTCCAATTGCCATAAGTGCTTGTTCATCTCCATCTTCATCCTCTGAGTCCTCATCTGAGCTTTCTCCCCAGGCAGCAACCATAACCTTTGTTGATCCTTTGTTCTTCTTGGGTTGAATCTGTTCCTTCTTCCTGTTCCTTCGTTCAGCTCTTTCCTTCTTCCATTCAATTTCCCATTGAGGGCAATTTTTGATGTGGTGATCAGTCTTCCCACACTTGTAACACCCCTCATTGGTTTTATTTTTCAGGAACCCTTGGTTTGTTGTAGCTTTCACTTCTTGAAGGACCATTTCCTCTCATTAGGTATTTCTTGAAATCCTTTGTGATCATGGTCATTTCATCCTCCTCTAGATCAGCACCTTCAGTGATTCTGAATGCCATGCTCCTTTCCTTCTTGGGTGCATCCATCTTCATGGTTTGCCTTCTAAGTTCATAGGCAGTGAGATTTCCAATTAGCTCATCCAACTTAAGAGTGACAATGTTCTTTGATTCCTGAATAACTGTGATTTTGCTTTCCCAAGAGATTGGCAGTACCCTTGTCAAAATCTTCTCAACTTTGTCTTCTTCAAGAATAACCCTTCCAAGAGACTTAAGTTCATTTGTCAGTGTGGTGAACCTTGTATACATCTCTTGGATGGTTTCCCCTTCCTTCATGGTGAAATTCTCATATTGAGAATACAGCAGTGTTCCTCTAGACCTCTTCACTTGAGGTGTTCCTTCATGAGCCACTTGCAAAATGTCCCAGATTTCCTTAGCAGTGGTACAGCTTTGAATTCTACTGTACTCGTCTGGACCAAGTCCACACACAAGTCATTTCTTGGCCTTTGCATTCTTTTCCCACTTCCTCAAGTCCTCAGCATTGCAGGCAGCTCTTGTTCTTGGCACATCTACTCCTTCAGCATTCTTCTTCATGGTAACCAGGGGACCATCAGTGACAATGTCCCATAACTGATAGTCTTCTCCGATAATGTGATCTCTCATCCTGTCTTTCCACCAAGAGTAGTAGTGGCCATTAAAGAGTGGAGGCCTATCAGTGGATTGCCCTTCCCAGTTTCCAGGTGGTGCGCTCATCTTGATCTGTTCCTAAGGTGTTAGCCTTTTCAAGGATAACCTCCTCTGATACCAATTGATGTTTTATATGTCAATACCACACAAGAGGGGGGTGATTTGTGTGGTACCCAATTTTTCACTTAAACTGCTTCTGGAAGGACTTGGTTCTTCTATGTGTTCCAACTACTACTGTTGCGGAATAATAAATACAGAAAATAAAGAACACAGAGACTTTACGTGGAAAACACCCGGCTCAAAAGGTGAAAAAACCACGACCTACTACTCAGTAGGATTTTTCCCAACACTTCACTAAATCACTAAGCCAAAACAGCATTTACAAAACTCTTTGTAAACCTAAGGATTACCTCTAATCCCGTTGTAGCAACCAGCCTCTAACTGTTGCGACAACTTCAAGTTAACTCTAACTTGAATACTCAAAATACCTATTACAATTGCTTCTAGATAAAGTTGAAAGGTACAATATGAACACCTACTACAATTGAACTAGAAATAAAGAAAGATACATAAAACTCTTTCTGGAGCTACTTCTTCAATCTGGTTCATGTAGCTTCAGGTTTGCACACTTGAATCACACACGAACTGCTTGCAAAAAGCCTTGCTATTTTGCTCCCAATTCACGTTTAACTTCTGCGTTTTTGTGCAACATTTTAATGTGAGAACATCCTGCAATTTATAGAGTTAGTAGATGAAGAAATAACTAGAGCTCTGATGCAACTCTTCCTTGGTGGATGAGTTCTAGTTGATTTCAACTTCTAACTCCTTCCCTATCTTGGATAGTGTTCTCTTTGATTAAGGAGTCCTTTTTCTTATCAATTATGCAACCTTTTCGATCAGGAGATATTAAATAGACCAAGTTAAGCTTATCTCCTTCACGTGCATCCCACATGCTCGAATCTACCCGTTTTTGTGCACCTGAGTGATGGACCTGGTTCATCCTGAGTTCCTTTGTCAATCTTCAAAACTAACCTTTACTTGGGCCAACAATCATAGTGAGCGGTGAAAAAGTGCGAGCTAATTCAAGAGAATGTGACTAGTACATTATTGTAGTTGCTCGAGAGAGAATTATGATAAGTCGAGTGCTCATGATCCATAGAGAATACTTAGGCGAAATTATAGAAGACGTAGCGAGAAGGATTCTGACAATTGGGGAAATCATAACTTTAGGCCTCCTTAATCTTGTCTCCAACTCTTAGTATCTTTAATTGCTAATTTATTATTTTAATTTGTTAGTTAATTAGTTAGATATAAGAATCTTAATATTTCTAACTTAGGAATTGTTCGAGCTTGCCTTATTGGTGATATTGAACAGTTATAGCGACACCTTAGTTCTCTGTGGGATTCGACTTCGGACTTTTAGACCGGATTGTATTTGCAGCGACCTTTTTTATCCTTTTTAGGACTAGAGTTGGGCGTGATCACCTAACTCAATAAAGCTTTTGAATGAGAAACCAAACTGATACTGCTATCTTCATGTTCAGACTGTCACTTAATCTGCTAGCTCAACCCAAACTAGTCGGCTATATGAATCATTTATATCCATCCTACTCTAGTTGGACGTATTTCATTTCAATACTCAATAATTTATTTATTTTTAAAGAAACTAAGGATTCTCTTCACGTTATCAAGAAAAAAATGCAAGGACTCCCTCAAACTAGAGGTTCTTAAGTCCCGATGAATAACAAGGGTGGCAGAATGTTGCTAGCCAACGTAAACCTAGTCCAATTTGAGGTTTAGACTGTTAAGGGCGAATTCTTTTCCATATCAAAAGCAAGAAACAGTGCCTTTGCTATATAGTCCTCCATGTTGGTTTTACCAACTATCTACTTTAGCTTGTCGAATAAAATGATCTCCTCCTTAAAATGCAAAACCATCATCAAGAAAAGCCAAACTAACATACAACAAAACTGGAGTACTTTATATTAATACTATATTTCTTTTAATCTCTGTGAGCCTCAACTCAGGTTGAACAAAATGAGAAGTAAGAGTATATAGTGTTCTGATTGTTAACCGGAAAAATTAATTGATCTAAAATGCATCACTTACCTGTCATAGCTTGGATATATGGGCCATTAATCTTGACGAATGGAACATGTTTTATCTTGTGCCAATCTTCTCCGACATCCTTTCTGCATCTTAATCCCAAGTTTGGACAGCCCCATATAGACAGAAACTGAAGCTTGGTTAGCTTTTTCACCGATTCTGGTACAGAACTTAGATTTTCACAGTACCACAGCTCCAATTCTCTAAGAGAAATGAGATCTCCTAGCCATTCTGGGAGCATATACATCTTAGGACAGCTCCATATATGCAGAGTCTGGAGAGATGTAAGGTTCTGCATAGTCATCGGCAAGGTTGTCAAGTTTTCACAGTCAGAGAGTGATGCATATTGAAGAAACTGTAAACTTTGTAATCCTTTCTCCAAGCTAATGTTACGACAACCATGAATGGACAAGGACTTCAAAGTTTCAAGTCCACATGAATCGAGCACAGAACTGAGACTGTTACAGTTACTGATGCTTAATGACTCGAGACAAGGAAGAACTTTCAGCTCACTCGAAAGACTTTGAATCTCTGCACAATCTCTAATTTCCACGGACAGCAGATTGATATTATTTTTCAGCAACCCTTCAGGTAAGTGTAGAATTTCCAAAAATCCACTGATCATAAGATGAGAAAGGGAGGTAATCTTGGCTGCTGTCTCTACTAGTAATTCACTGCTACAATCAGACAATTCTAATGAGTCAAGAGAGGGAAGATCTGGCAATTTATTCAAATAGGGACATGCCTCGCACGTAAGTTTCTTCAGACAATGAAGAATACTATGATCTTTATTAACTGACCATCCCAATAGATTGGGCATATTCCGGAGCGTCAGTTGCTTCAGTGATGCAAATTGAGTTGCCGAATCCTCTTCACCGGAACTATTGCAGAAATACATTGCGGAATCCATCCCGTCAACAGTGAGAACCTCAAGAAAAGGCAACTTCCCTAGTTGAGGCAGCTCCACACACCTGTGACACTTTAGAAGCCAGATTTCCACAATGTGTACCAAGTATATATTCATCAACCAACTGGGGAAATTTGCACCAATATAACCCTCTATGTGTAACTTGCTCAAATCAGAATTTGGTTGAAGGCTCTCAACAATGCGCTCAACATTTTCTCTTGTGCCCATTTCTTCAACTTGATCCCATATTAACTTTAGAAATCGGATGTGCCTCTTCCCATTCAAGTTAGCATTTTTGGCACATATCTCATCGGACAAATTCTCAAGGTTCTTTATCATTAATTCACCATGAAGATCAAGTCTCTGCAACTCAGAAATGTCACAAGCAGCAGCCTTGCTAACAATGTAAACTGGCAATGTTTGCAGGGATCTCATTTTTCCAATGCCACCAGGTAACATGGTTAAGGATGTGCATCCGTATATATCCAGATGTCTAAGGTTCACCAACTTTCTAATTTCTGCCGGAAGTTCTATCAGATGGTTGCAATGCTTAAGTATTAAAGCTTCAAGATTAAGGAGGCAACAGATAGACTTTGGCAATGTTCTTAGCAGAGTGTGTGAAAGATTGAGGTATCGTAGATGTAATAAAGTACCAACTGACTTAGACAAATTCTTTATCCGACTACCACTGCAATCTAATGCCCGAACAGATTTAAAGCTCAAAAAGAAACTCTTGGATAGTTTCGTGATATTTCTCTGTCCATCCAAAAGAAGAAACGATCGCAGCTTTTGAGCACTCCTCAACATGCCAAGTCTTTTGGGTACCAGTACACTGCCAAGCATTGATAAGTGGCGTGTGGCCACAGGAATGATAACTTCCTTGCCAAATTCTGTTGTTAAACAATCAACACCACCTACAGATTTGGAAAGATCATGGACAAGATCATGCATGTCACAGTCAACTATATTCCCATCAAAATCTCTTCTCACATTTTGGAAGAAGGAGCGCCACAACAACTCATTGAAATAACCATTCCCAGCTTCTTCAGGTGGCATGCTTTCAGAGGATGGAACAAATCCTTCCGCTATCCATAGGCATATCAAGGTGTTTTTATTTATCCTATAGCCCTTAGGAAATATAGAACAATATGCAAAACATTGTTTCAGATGTGTCGGCAAGTACTCATAACTTAATCTTAGGGCCGAAAGAATTCCAGCTCCGTCTTCACTTCCCATAAGATCCCACATTGCACAATCTCGGATGAAAGACCATTCAGATTTCTGATTCTTCAAGCACATTAAACTTCCAAGGGCCTTTGCCGCTAAAGGAACCCCCCTACATTTCTTGGCGATCTCTTTCCCGAGCTCTTCAAGAGCTAATAATTCTTTTTGCCTATTCTTGTATGCCAGTTCCTGAAACAAGGACCAGCAATCATCATCCGAAAGGCCTTCCAAACGATATGGATTTGCTGTGCCCATCAGCAGCGCAGCCTTCTCATTTCGAGTAGTCACTAACAGCCTACTCCCATCCAAACCACTGTGAACTAAATTCTTTAATCTCTCGTATTTCTCATGATCATCATCCCATACATCATCTAGGACAAGCAAAAATTTCTTGCCCAATAATAACGCTTGGACACGCCGCAAGATCGCCTCCATCTCTACAAGGTTACAACTACTACCAGTGGCATATTCTATGATTGCTTTAAGAAGCCTTTTCACATCAAATCCTTTTGAGACACAAACCCATATTCTTGTATCAAATCTATCCTCTACAACAGCATCATTGTAAACCAATTTTGCAACTGTAGTCTTCCCAATTCCTCCAATTCCAACAATGCTAACAACCGGTACATCAGATTCTATGAGTAGCTTGATTATGTTTTCCTTATCCTTATTTCTACCAAAAACCTTTGATTCAATTACATAAGAGTCTGACTGTGGTCTTTCACAAGAAAAACCTCCCTGATAAACAACATCCCTAAAATGGAATTTGGCTCTCTCATTTGCAACCAATTCTAACTTTTCTCCAACTTCTTTCAGTTTCAACTTCATACGGTAACCCAGACAAAGTAAAGTACCATTCAGATAAAGAGAAGTCACAGCATAGGAAACACAATAATGGGTTTCTCGGTCGTCGAGAATTACCTTAAGGCGGAGCAATTCAGTCAAGTATTCATCCAATAAATCATCTGCTTCATAGACAATGTCTTTGAGCTTCACCAGCCAGTTCTTCAAAGATTTATCTTTCATTTGCCTATCCTCAGCATCTTGTAGTACAGCTTGAATTGTTGATAGTGTGCTCTGCAGATTTATCATCTCCTTCTTTGTACTTCCTAGCTGTCCATTTTTTTGGAAAATTTGGGAAGTTATCTTTTGGAAAAGGACTTCCATTAGAGCTGAAAGTACTGCTTCTGCCATGGTTGGTACTGAAAATTGTGGCTGCCTGTGAGAGTATCAACAACAACAAGTAATTTCCTTAGATGAAATACTACTTTTCTTGATCACACTATAGTGAAGACTATGAGTCAAATAAATAGTAAGTCAACATGTATAGAATAAACAAAGAAGTTTCCATGCTTATTACATTGAATTATCTTTTTTTTTTTTTTCAACTATGATTTTACTCGTACTAAAGTTTAGTAAAAGAAGACGTGTTAAACTAATAAACTCCACAATTTATTACATTCATAACAGCTGGTGATTTGTGTCAACTAACCAATAATTTCTCTATTCATCAATTGGCTCCAAATTTGAATATCAACAATTTGTAAGGATCGATTGGTTCAAATACTAAATGAAAGTACAATTGGAGGTGCGAATTTGATATCTTTCAACCGAATTAAAATTTTATTTTCACAAAAATTATTAGAATTTTTAGTATTAAAAATGTTCAAAAAGTATTAATTGTTATATAGTTTTCATGAATTTCCTTTTTGACGTTGTTAAAAAAAAATTGAGACAAACATCTATCTGCAACTACTAACTCATAACCACCAACTGTCATTCCACAATCACCATTAGTAAGCTGGTTTTACTACTACTGGTCACCACGTCAAAACCGTCACTATTAATAACCACCACCACTAGGGGTGCTTATCAGGCGGATCAGGCACATAATCATGCTTAACGGTTCGGCTTATCGTTTATCGGATTATAAATGTATTAATTCGCGAACCATCCAATAAGACAACGGGCGGATTGGTATCAGATTAACAATTATCGAGCGGTTTATCGGATAAATCAAATAGAAATTTTTGAACAATCCTAGTTTGTTGCTACACGATAGAATCTGTTAACACTTTGTAATTTGTATTGCACTTATTATAAGTATTTGTTTTGGTTGCATAGCTATCCTGTTTCATGTAAAAAAAAAAGGTGGGGAGGGGGGGGGGGGGGGAGAGACTAAAAACTAGTTACTGACTGAAAACTTATATACAATCGGAATCCCCTACACGGCCACATCTACAAAACTTGACTGAAAACTTGAAGGCATTTTCAGATTTATTTTCTAATAGTACTTGAGGTCGTGCTATAATTCCATATATTTTAACGTTATATACCCTACTTGATAGTTGTTTGGATGCTAATTTGTGCGACAATTGAGCTTAATAGAGTTTATTTTACGTGTAGGAATGCTTGAACATGAAGTGAAGAAAAGTTACACGAAATAGTACCTCAAAGCTACAAAATGGAGCAATAAAAGAAGACGTGCAAGGCAATGAAAAGTCATGGCCGTAGACAGTGCAAGGCTTTGTCCAAGGCATTGTCATTGGCGCCTTTATCAGAGCCTCGCGGGGAAATGTTGGCGCCTCTGACAGTGCCTCGCAGAGTAATGTTGGTGCCTCTGACAATGCCCGCGCCGATGATGCTTGTCCGAGCCACTTTTATTTTCTCATTATTTTTGGACGTGTAGACCTCAACCCTACTGATAGAATTAAAAGTCCACCAAACTCTATAGAGAACCAGGTTCTGTATCAGGTTCAACAAAACACACGCACACTGCAGTAAGTAAATGACACAAAGGAATTTTACGTGGAAAATTCCCAGCTCAACGGGATTAAAAACCATGACCTATCCTCGTAGGATTTCAACTTCACTATAGAGTAATCTTTAGATTACAACCTATTGTAACCTAGGAATTAACCTCTTAATCCCTCACTAACTTGTAACTATACTATTACAAGCCACTTTGTAATAACTTTATTACAAAGACTTAATCACTCACTAACTTGTAACAACACTATTACAAGCCACTATGTAATAACTCTATTACAAAGATTTCACAACTCGACTAATTCTAGCCAAGACACAAACACAAGGGTTTATGATTTACAAAGAGTTTCCTGCGCCATGCTTCTAAGTAAGCTAAGTAGGAATTACAAGTAAAAAATTTAACAAAGATACAACGCAACTAAGGACATATAATAACTCAATATGGGGAACTGGTCCATTGCTATGCTGTTCTTTGTTCTTGATGCCCTTGAGAATCACTTGCAAGATGACACACACTTGAGAGAATGCTTGATAAGTTCTTGAATGTATAAGTGATTTGTTTTACCTTTGCTTGATGTTAATATCTCATTTGTGACATCACTTGGATGATGCAAGCATGTTAGGTGAAAGGCATTCTCCATAAAGTTAACTGCTGCATTGTTTCTGCACTGTAGTGTGTGCAGGCAGCAACTTTACAGCTGGGGGAGTTGACTTGTACAGTCACCTCGGGAACTGGTAGGGACCTGTTCCCTCAGTTGTTCCTCCTGCTGTTCCTTTGACTCTAAAGAGTTGAATTGTGTCCCCAACTGGAAACTTGTTGATCTTAAGTTCTTTGAGGATGTGTAACAGGTTCCTTATCTGGTTCTTAACAGTAAGTTTGTTAGATCATCAAAATATAACACGGATACACATATAACCTATCAATTTTCCCTTTTTTGATAATGACAAACATATAATTAAATTTCGCCCTAAGAACGAGAATGGCATTCGCATTTCCTGTATTCCCCCTGAATCTGTTCCCCATCTTGTTCCCTCTCAATTATTTTTTCCCCTTTTGGCATCACAAAAAATCACTAGCAAGCATTAAGCAAAAAAAAAGTCCAGCTTAGTTAACTCATGCCACATGTGTGCACACAAACATGATTAAAAACAGAACATAAGAGCAATACATACACAACAAAAGGAGGAGGCTTTCATTAATATTTGGATTTTTTAAGCAGGAGTAGTTCCATTATTTCCAAACATATCCACAAAATAAAAACAGCAAAAACAAAAGTACCAGTCATAAACATCATCAGAACTAAAATAGAGGACAGACACTAAGAACTTGACAATTGGGAAAGGGACACTGTTTAAGGAGCACTGGAAGGGAAAGGCCTAGATGAAGAGGCAAGGGTTATAAGAAGGATGTCCATTCGAGAATTAACTGACACCTGCTCGTTGAGCAGTCTCTCCTTCAGGTCCTTAACCTATTTCCTGAGGTCGGCATTTACCTTGGTCAGACGGGCAACCTCTGTGCTTTGAGAGCAGCTAGAACCAAGTGCCCCTAGAAGCTGACCCTCAAGAATGGCATTCCTTGCCTTCAGCACGATGGAGCAAGACCTTGTTCACTATTTCAAACAATAATTGGTACACTGGAAGAGGGCCTTCTCTGTGCCTGTTTCCCGTGTTGAACTGTCGCATCCTTCAAGATAGCATTTTGTAAAAGTTTGAAGAGCTAGGTTCCCTGAAACAGAAGACAAACCCTCAGCAGGCACT